TATAACTTCTCACAAGTCTATTGCATGGCATTGTAACAAATGCCTTTTGGAAGTCACCACATTGATAGTATTATTATCATCAACCCTCTTTGTTATGTCTTCAGAAACCTTCAGCAAGTTACTTAGACACGATTTTCCCTAGACAACCCCATACTTCCTTATCTGAATCAAGCCCCGTTTTTCCATGTAACTGCATAACTGTTTCCAGAGATTTCCCATCATCAAAGTTATACTGCCTAGTTTGTAATTGCTGAGCCAAACTTTACAACCTTTTTTGAACTTTTTGATGTTGACGTGCCGGCTTGGACTGGGGTGGACAAAGTTAGAAATCACACGACACCAGATTATAGTCCAACAGGTTTATTTGAAATCACACTAGCTTTCGGAGCGCAGCCCCTTCATCAGGTGCAGTGAGAGAGTTTAGCACACAAACACAGAGAGATCAAGGGCAGAGAGATCAAAAGATCATACAACTGGTGTGAGTGGAGTGTCAGATAATAAGTCTGTGTAGGTGACTAAGAGTGTTAGATGGTGAGTAAAATGTCAACAGCTGAATAACTGCCAAAGGGAGTGACCTCTAATCTGATTAAACGAGGCAGAGAGATAATTACAAAAAATTAAAAAGAAGGTGGTGTTGGACAAATTAAATGGCTGGAATTGCATGCCAAATTCAAAACTGTACAAACTAGTTAAGGTGGAGAGATCATAACAACTTATCAAAGTGATGGTGTCAGAACAGTAAGGAAGATTTTTGTACTGCAACATGAACCCAAGATCACGGTCAAGGCCTTCTTCATGGTTTGTCTCCAGCAGCACCATCTTTTTAATTTTTTGTAATTATCTCTCTGCCTCATTTAATCGGGTTATAGGTCAGCCCTTTGCTGGTTATTCAGTTGTTAACACTTTACTCACCGTCTGTCACTCTTGGTCACCTACAGAGACGTATTATCTGACACTCCACTCACACCAGTTGCATGACCTTTTGATCTCTCTGCCCCTGATCTCTCTGCCTATAAACTCTGTGTCTGTGTGCTAAGCTCTCTCACCGCATCTGACGAAGAGGCTGCACTCCAAAAACTTGTGTGATTTCAAATAAACCCCTTGGACTATAACCTGGTGTCATGTGACTTCTGACTTCGAACTTTTTGACATAATGTTTGCAATTTTCGAATTCTATGACACTATCCCTGAATCCAGCGAACGTTGAAAGATTATTGCAAGTGATTCTGCAATTTCCACTTTGACTTCCTTCATTATCCTTAAATGCATCTTATCTGGTCCTAGTGCCTCATCAACTTTAAGTACTGACAGCTAGTCTTATAGATCCTCATCATCAATTTTAAACTCTTCCAGAGACTGAATTTCTTCCACTGTCAGCATAGTCTGGTCTGCATCTGCCTCATGGGTAAAGACAAGTACAGAGTATTCATTTAACACCTCAGTCACACTCTGCCTCTAATTGTCAATCACCTTTCAGGCCCTGAATTAACCTCACTCTTCCTTTTACTCTTGTTGCAATTCCAGAAAATTTATTTCTTTTGGATTTTCTTCTATGTTAGATTCCAGTTTTTTTTATGAATTCTTCTTTGCTTCCGTTATATGCTTTTATATCTCCAAGTTATCTTCTATATTCATCTTGATTCTAATTGTATTTATTACCTGATTAGGACACTTTTTCTTTTTTAACTTAATTTCTGTCTCCTTTGTGACCGAGGGAGCTCTTATTTTATTTGTCCTATCTTTCCATTTTGAGGGAATATGCCTAACTGTGTCCATACCATCTTCTCTTTGAAGGTAGCCCATTGTTCAGGTACCACTTTATCACCAACCTTTTGTTCCACTCTATCTGGCACAGCTCCATCTTGCCCTATTGAAGTCTTCTCTTTCTCGGTTAATTATTCTTACTGTGGTTTCACCAATATCATTTTCTACCATCATCCTAAACCTACACTATCCCCTAAATATTTCCCCACGGACGCTGGATCTCATTCCCAAGAAGCAGGACTGAAAACATGCTGTAATAGGAACACTTGGCTCTCACTGCCCCTTACACTACCACCATCCCAGTCAATATACAGATAATTAAAGTCTCCTATAATCACTATTATATGATGATTACACTTTCCTGTTAATCCCTGGCAGATTTGTTCCTCTACATCTCTCTTATTAGCTGCTGGTTATTATGTTACACCAAACAATGTGATTTCACTCTTCTTATTCCTTAGCTCTATACAAATTGATCTGTCCTTGAATCCTCTTTCTCCTGTACTGCAATGTTCTCTTTAACTAAAAATACTGCCCCTTCTTTCCTTACTGTCCTCTATCTTCTGAACATGCTGTAAACATGAATATTTAGCACTTTGCCTTGCTCTTCCTTGAGCCAAGTCTCTGTTATAATCATATCGTCAAAATTCCACGTCAATCTGTGCCTATAACTTCCCAGTCATATTTACTCTACTCTTCTTGCATTCATATATATGCACAATAACCCTGGTTGAGACTTCATTACTTTCTCCTTTACTCCAGCTCCGCTTACTAACTTACTATATCTGTTTTAATGCAATCTGCCTCGCCCAGCATATTTTGAACATCCTGGTATTTACTGAGTCATAGTCTCTCCTGGCTCCCACATCCTTACTGAGTTAGTTTAAATCCTCGCCACTGTCACTCACAAAACTCCCCATGACAAACTATGTCCCAGCATTGTTCAACTACAACCCGTCCAGTGGGCACAGGTACCATCTCCCCAGAGCCAGTCCCAGCGTCTCAAGAATCTAAATCCCTCCCTCCACAGCATCTTTCCAGCCACATATTCATCTGTCTTTTCTTCCTGCTGTAGCACTGTGTTATCCTTGACCCAAGAACCAGGGAGATAACAAACCATCCTCAAGTCACATTGACAGCTATAGAAATTCCTGTCTATTTCTCCAACTGAGGAATCTATTATCAATACTGCCCAATTGCCCTTCTTCCTCCCCTCCCATGCTGCCTTAGGCTTGGCTCTTGCTGCATTTGCCAAGGATCTATTGTCCTCACCATTCCCTATCTGTGGTGTAACCCCTCCTCCGAATGCGTGATCACATAGTTTGCTGTCTCACGGATGCACCTCAGTGACTGTAGTCCCTGCTTGAGCTCTGAACCAAAGCTCAGGCTTTGCAGCTGCTGAAGCTAGGGCAGGTCTAGGGCATGAGAAGTGTCCATGACACCCCATATGCCACAGGATGGCATTCTGATCAGTCAAACAGCCTTCCACACCTTACCTGATACTTTTAGCTTACTTACTGTAACTTCAATTACCTGAGCATATTTTACTCTTGTAATATTAACTCAAAATTGGTAAATACTGTGGAGGACAGACTTAGGTTACAGGGTTACATTGATGGGCAGGTCTGATGGGCTGATCAGTGGCAAATGGAGTTCAATCTGGATAAGTGTGAGATGATGCACTTGGGCAGGACAAACAAAGCAAGGGAATACATGATGGATGGTAAGACATGGAGAAGCACCAAGAATCAGAGAGACCTTGGTGTGCATGTACACTGGTCCCTTAGCGTACCAGGACAGGTGGATAAAGAGCTTCTATTAGTCAAGGCATGGAACTTAACGGAAGGGAGGTGATGCTGAAATGTATGAAATGCTGGTTAGGCCACAGTAGGGTATTGTGTGCAGTTCTGGAATCTACATTATAGGGGGTACATGTTAAGAGAGGGTGCAGAGGAGATTTACCTGAAGTTGCCTGGGCTGGAGTGTTTCAGGTTTGATAAGGGATTGGACAGACTGGGTTGTTTTCCTGGTGCAGAGGAGCTTGAGAGGGGACATTGTTGAGATATATAAAATTATGAGGCGCATAGAGAGGGTAAACAGAAAGAAAAGTTTCCCCTCAGTGGAGGAATCATTAAACAGGGGGCATAGATTTAAGGCAAGGGGCAGAAGGTTTGGAGGAGATGTGAAGGTGGTGAGAATGTAGAACTGCCTGCAAGGATGGTAGAGGCAGAAAGTCTCATAACATTTAAGAAGTATTTAGGTATGTTTTTATGATGCCAAGGCATATAAGGTTACAAGCTAAGTGCTGAAAAATGGAATTAGATTGGTTTTGGGGTGTTTTTGACCAGGGCAAACTCGATGGACCAAAGGGCCCCGTTTCCGTGCTGTTGTCCTCTGTGACTGTATGACTGGTAGAAAGTAGAAATTCCTTCTTCTTACTCACCAATCAGCTCCACTTCCTGCAAATGCTTTCTTTCCCTGTGCTCATTGAGCAATGACTGGAATTGAAACAGAGTCCTAAACGGCAGATTGTCCAAAACCAATCGACTCATTACCTTCCTGTCATATCACCCTTTGACTCATTTCTCTTCCACTCACGTTGGAGTCTTCTCCCCCAGTTGTTTTAGTGCTAGTGCCTGTCTCTGGGTCCTCCTCAGGGCATGTGGAACTGAGGTGGAGTTCGGGAGTGGGGTAAAGGTCACACAGGGTGGTGATAGGGCAGTCAGCAACAAAAGTAGTTGATCAACAGGTCCTCCCAAAGTCAGGTCACTGGATCAGCTACTGAATGTAATTCAGGTTCCCAATGTAAACATGCCAAGATGTACTTGCTACTTACACTACACACTGAACACCTCCCCAAACTATGTGGCTAATAGCAGAGGTGGAGGGGATGTGGCCTTTAAATACCAACTGAAGGGCACCCATTGGCCTTCTCACCATGAACTCAATTGGGGTGGAAGTGGGAAGTTGGCAGATTCCCCACCCACCATCTGATTAAATGCTCCCCAGCACCCGAACCTGCCAGGTGAGGGGGCACAAGATTCTGCTCAGACAAAATTCAGGAGGAAAGGGAACAGTGAGAAACATGCTCACTTGTGAAAGGCTCTGTCTGAGAAGCACAGTAATCCCACTGTGCCATCAAACCTCCACCAACAACTGACTCACACATTGATAGGACACAGCACCCAGGTATAGCTCTTCAATTCCCTACTATACAATGAAACATCACACCAAGCAACATTTATAAAGACATCTTTAATGGAAGCATTCCATATTTTATGAGCTTGTAATACCAAAAATGAACTATCAAAAGTGTAGCATTATAATACAGAAGGGTCTAAAGCAAGAGTTTCCATCTTTAATCCAGGAACATCTCCCTGTTTTCGCTGTAGAAGCTCATACTGCCTGTTGCAATGGTTCATGGAGACTATCTTCCTCCTTGTTACATCAGATGATGTTCTGGCTAATTTCTGGCTTAGTGACTTACCCCCCTGAGTTTAAATATCAGCAGGACTAGACCCCAGCAAGGGGTCACTTTGTTGACTCACTGCTGTGACATTGTGTTATCAATGGAACCATTATCTTCATTAGTAAACCCCCTTTATACATTCCCATTCCACAATGTTAAAGCAAGAAACTGGGAAAATTGTACATGCTCCAGAGTTATGACCTTCCAAAGCTTTCTTAATTCTGGGATTGTTCCCATAGATTGGAAAATTACCAAAGGCACTTCATAATCTAAGAGAAGGTGATAAACTAGGAATTTAAAATCATCTTCATATTCTATTTGTATTGTATTTGGGACAGGGTGAATGTGCATAATTGGATAGATAAGAAATGAGAGAGATCCAACGTGCTTTTGTAAAGAGTAAGTCAGTTCTAGGAAACCTGGTTAAGTGTTGTAAGATGGTGACTAACTTGGTGGATGTGGCAGTGTTTACAGGTTTTTATGAAGGTGTGCAGATGGCATTCAACAAGGTTCCACAAAACTGACTGTGAACAAAAATAAAATGCCACCTTTAGGCATTTCACTGGAATTGGTTTGGAGGGAGGAAACAGAGAGTTGGAATAAACAATATTAAGTCCAATCAATGGGATGTGACTGATGCTCGAAGTTCCCTCTAAAATGCATGCACACACAGCAGCTCTGATGCTCTGCACACAGTGAGTGGTGTCACTTCAGAGGCTTGTGCAGCCCAGAAGAAAATTAGAGGTAACGCTGCTGGTGATGTCCATTAGGAGCTGTCTTGGGCTCTCTCTCAGTTGTTGTGGCCAGGGAGAAACCAAAACAGATGGAGTTAAATAGTCAGCCAGTCTGATCTCTTCTTCATTGGCCTAAAGGAATGTCTAAATGGTTCAGAAGCTGGCGACTGGGAGAAGCTGAAAGAGTTAAAAACTATGCACGGAAAACACTCCAAACAAGCGAACAGGCATAAAAGAGAATGTAGTTAGCTTCAAGAATGTTGATTTTTCACCTTAGGAAGACTGGGATGCAGAGTGAGGTGATGGTTATACTATTTATTTATCCAGTTCTGGTTTAACCCTTTCCAAAAGACTGTTTACAGATCTGGGTGCTATTCTCAGGAAGGGACAGTTTGGCTTTACAGTCTGTAATACAGGTTCACCAGAATGGTCCCAGGGCTTTTACTTTGCCTTGGTTATAGATAATGAACTGGTGGAGCAGAATTTTATGATTAAGTGCTGGTGGGGTGAGAAGCGGGGTGGGGGGCAAGATTTAGGACAATGTTAGAAAGCATCTGTTCACACCAAAGGTGGTGGTATGGTGATAATGTCCCTGGACTGGGAATCCAAAGACCCAGACTACTGCTCTGGATTTGTGGGTTCAAATCCCCCAAGGCAGTTGGCAGAATTTAAATTCAATAAGTAAATCTGAAATTGAAAACTAGTCTCCGTGATGGTGCCCATGACAACTATCATGGACTGATTAAAAAACATCTGGTTCACTTAAGGGAGGGAAACTGCAATCCTTACCTAGTTTGCCCTACATTCCACAGCCACAGTGATGCAGTTGTCTTTTAACTACTCTTTGAAATGCACCAGCAAGCCACTCAGCTCAAGGGCAATTAGGGATTCACAATAAATGTTGGCCCAGCCAGTAACATCCACATTCTGTTAAAGAGAATTCCTTCCCATTAATTTTGTATGTGTGATGAGATGGTCATTTTGAAAATGGTTGAGGGTTTGGGCATGGGATACAAATCTAAGCTATGTGCTAGAGATAACACAACGTGGAGCTGGAGGAACACAGCAGGCCAGGCAGCATCAGAGGAGCAGGAAAGTTGACGTTTCAGGTCAGGACCCTTCTTCAGAAATGTGCTACGTTATGTGCTGTTGTTTACTCTGTGCCTCATATCTATCACTCCTTCTCATTCTTGACACATAGCCGTTCTCATGAAGGAACTGTGCCACGCCCTTTACAGGAGCTGTCCATTAGTGGCTGTATCCCACACTGACTGTTCTAAACACTGCCCTCCAAATGGCCATGAGTTTATAAAATGGCACAGCTGACGAGTGGACTGAATGGCCTACTTTGGCTCCTATATCTATGACCCTACTAAATAACACTCAATATTAAAATTGCTCCTGCAGACACTCTGCTGAAGTAACAACAACTTGCACTCATCCTGCACCTTTGATGCAATAAAACATGGAGGACTTTTATGAAGCAATCTGTTACGCTGAGTGACGTAAGACAATATGGGGATAGATATCAAAAGCTTGATCAAAGTTTAGTGGAACCTCTTAAAGAGGAAAGCGAGGAACAGAGGCAAAGGGCAGTAGGGAGAGAATTCCAGAGTTTAGGACCTAGCCAACAGACAGTCACCAGTGATGGAGCAATTAAAATGGAGAATGAAGTCATGTCCAGAATGGGAGGTGTGCAGAGCTCAGAGAGTTGAAGGGCTGGAGGAGATTACAGAGAAAGGGAAACAGAAACAGAAACAAAGTAAACCAATTCCACTTGAGTTGCTTCTTGTCAAACTTATAAACCTCAGCACGATTTGTATAAATGGAACACTTTTGTATCCTGTTTATAACCAGAATGAAAACATTCCCAATGATCAGAACATCTATGCACACAAGAGCAAGTGGAAGCTTAGAACCTTCTCCCCAAACGGCTGTAGCTGATGTGGGTTCAACTGGACAGTGATCAACAGAATTGTGTTGGGTGTGAAATATGGAACATTCAGAGCCACCCTCGTCTACTCAAATGATTTCCTCATTGTCTTCTAACCAGGCAGTTAGCTGCTATCCCTTGTTGACAAGGGATTGCTGTTGTGTTTGTTTTTAAACATAATGTGATAGAATTCTCCAACTTGGCAACAGCTGTCAATGAGGATGAGGATAGTATTGTCACAAGAAGCCCACCACCTTCAAGTCCCTCTATGAACTAAATGTCATCTTGAATCATAGAGAATCCCTACATTGTGGAAGCAGGCCATTCAGCCCATAAAGTCCACACCAACCCTCCAAGGAACATCCCATTCAGACCCACCCCTCTACCCTCTAACCCCACATTTTCCCTGGCTAATCCACCCAGGCTGCACATCTCTGGACTGTGGGAGGAAACCAAAACACTCAGAAGAAATAGGCACAGACACAGGGAGAATGTACAAACTCCACACAGGCAGTCGCCCAAAGGTGGGATTGAACCTGGGGCCTTGGCACTGTAAGGCTGCAGTGCTAACCACTGAGCCACTGTGTAGCCAATTTGGATTCAGCTGTCCATTCCTTCATTGTTGCCAGGTCAAACTCCTGGACCATCCCACATAACAACAAACACTCTTGCCTTAAGGACTGCACTGGACCAAGAAAGCCACCTTCTCACCATCTTTTCAGGGACAAATAGAGATGGGCAATAAATATGGCATTCCAAAAGCTGAAACAAGTTTAAGAAGTTACAAACCAAGAACCAAATTAGAATAACCAGGGGCCCAGATTTTCTTCACTAGCTTGTGCTGAGGTAAATTTGGGGAGCTTTACCTCCAGGATTGAGAGTAAGGAACTCTCAGGGTTAAAGCAGGGCTGCCTGTGCTCAATGCACCAAAGCCTGACAATGCTAAAACCTCACATTCTCACCAACGCTTTAAGCAGAAGATGGTTAAAAACAATCAGAAGCGATGATTTTAACAAGAGGAGCTGATTGCAAAACATGTAAAGCAGGAAGCAGAGATCTTGTGTCTGATTTTCTGCCTATTCCATTTAACTAGATTCTCTCTCTCTCTCTGTTTGAGGTACATCAGACCCTTAGACTGCTACACTATTGGGGATTCTGTCTGGAGAGAAGTAGTAATATGGGAGCTTCTTATCCTTATTGCGTTCTGCAATGCGATGTGTAATTTCTTGAAGGTGCGCTTGGAAATTCTGGATAGCTTCCTTGACAGGTTTTTCTATGAAGTGTTCATCTGGATACATTCCAAGGAAGAGCTGCAGAAATAACAATCATTTTTGATAAATATTTATATAAATCATCTCATGTTATGTTATTCCAATATGATATGAGATCTATATGCTTGTACACATGTGTATACAAGTATCCAGAGTTCCTGATGAGTTGCTACTGCACTATGGTCACATAACAGAATACCAAGCAATAATGCAACACAAGGTGTAATCTGACAAATATATTGGATGAAGCTCCAGCATTATGGTCTAAGAGTATAATTACTTTACATTTTTGGAAACTACAAGACACAGCATGGTGGTAGTGGGGTGTTTATGAGTAAATTCCATGAATCTTAAATGGATTCAATACAGAATTAGGTCGAGAAAAATGGAAAGAAATGAACAAAAATTGAATAGTCAAAGAACTGCGGATATTGGAAATGAGAACAAAAACAGAAATTGCTGGAAAAGCTCAGCAGTTCTGACAGCATCCGTGGATGGAAAGCAGAGTTCAGGTCCAGTGACCTTTCTTCAGAACTGTGTTCTAAGGGAAACACCCTCTCGCATCTACCCTGCGGAGTCCCCTCAATGAGATCACCTCCCACACTCCTAAAACTGTGATGGATATAGACTCGGTCTGTCCAACTTTCCTTGTGGGATAAGCCTTTCATCCCAGGAATGTACTCATGCAATTATATCCTTTTTCAGATAAGGTAACCAAATCTGTATACAGTGCTCCCGATGCATTCTCACCAATGCCCTGTACAACTGTAATTTCCCTACCTTTACATCCCCTTTGTTATAAAGGCCAATATTTCATTTTGCTTCCTCCATTACTTGCTGCAACTGCTTACTGTTTGTGTTTCACATACAAAGCCACTCAGCTCCCTCTGCACTGCAGCATTCTGAATTCTCTCTCCCTATTGAAACAATAGTCTGCTTTTCTATCATTTTCACAAATTGAACAACTTCATGTTTTCTCCATATCGTACTCCATCTGCTAAATTTCTATCCACTCACTAGAACTTATCTGCATCCCTTTGCTTTGTAAGCGTTCCTCACAACTTACCTTTGTACCTACCTTTGTGTGATTGGCGAATTTAGCAACAAAACCTCCAGTTCCTTCATTTGAGTCATTGAGATAAATAGTAAACAGTTGAGGCCCCAGCTCTGATCCTTGTGGCACACTGCCAGTCACAACTTGCCAACCAGAAAGCAACCCATTAATGACTACTCTCTGCTTCCTATTTATTAACCTATTAATCCTCTTAGTCTTGCTGACCTGTTCTTCTTGCACCCATGAGCTTTTATTTTATGTTGTTATCTTTGACGTGACACTTTGCTAAGTGCCAGTGATGGTGATGTGGTCTCAGGGTTACAGGACACTGAACCTCCTGCCCTGGGAGTCTCCTGTAATCACATCCCTACACACAGAGACTGGCTATTTACTGTGTCCTTACCTCATTGTCCTGAAACTGGCTGAGTGCCCACACAGCACCCAGGTGCCAGCACGAGCGCCCTCTGTCTGGCAGACTCTCAATGATGTACTCCACATTCACAACACCTTTCTTGCAGGGTGGGGGCTGCCGCATTGTGGGAGGAGAGTTTGGGATCCACGAGCACCAATCATACTTTAAATAAAAACAATTACAACATAGCATTAATAATACAGTCAAGCAGGATATTGGTTTCTTCTCTCTAATTTGATCCTCACTCATGAGAATATGGTTCAACTGGCGGCTAAGGAATTAAAATTTACCAGGCAGCCTACCTGCCGAGTCCCAGTATTTTCAATTTTTACTGGCACTTCTGGACAGGCAGTTAAACTGCCACCCAAACCAAATAAAGTCCTTTCTCAGCACGTTTGGCAATGATTTGACCTCTGCTCTGTGTTGGTTTTGAATGAACACAGTGAGGAAACATAGAGAAGAAGATCAGGAGTAGGCCTTTCAGCCCTTCGAGCCTGCTCCACCTTCAATAGGATCATGGCTGATCATCCAACTCAGTACCCTGTTCCCACTTTCACCTCATATTCTTGATCCCTTTAGCCTTAAGAATATCTAACTCTTTCTTGAGGAAGTGAACCAGGTCTGAGAATATGCCAGGCTCCACAAAGGAGGAGTTGACCTCCCCTGCCCCAAACTCCCATTTCTTTCTAGCACTTCTTCTCCCACACCGACATCCCTATTTCTCCCAAGGACAGTTGCTGCTGCTGGTTTTCCCTATCCATGGCAGGAAGTGACCTGGCTACACGTTAGTGCGGATCTGGTATCAACAAGTTAGATATTGGGTGGGTAGGAGCCTGATCAAGTGCCAAGGTCTCACACCCAGTGGCTATTAGAGTCAAAGATCCACATTTCCCTGGGATAGCACCATCAGCATCCTTCCCAACCAGAATGTCAAACAGAAGCCTATAAATGGGAAGGTCCCCTTTGAGTAGGTTCTGTCTAGCAAACTGCAGGGTTTCCAAAATTCCCATTTTAATTGTGTCTTTTGCATATTGTTCCTGGACTCATTTTTACTAGCTTATCTCAATCCTCTTCTTATCCTTGTCTGGGTTTTTTCCTATCAATATACCATTTCCCCATATCCTTTGCCAATTTCCTTCATTACATTCAACTTCTATAACCCTCCAAAGTATCACTATCCTCACTCTCTCAATATACTTAGTTCACTGGTCTTGGGAAATCCTTATGGATCTTAGGCCAGTGACCCCTGAAGTGATTGTAATGAGGTCAGCCAGCTGGACCTCATAGAATATGAATCCTTGTGTGGGGCTTTTAATCTGGCCCAATCAGGGAGCCCTGACTCACAGATTAAAGGATGGGTATCAGAGATTCAGACACTCTGGGTGCTGACTCTGACAAAGCTGTGCTAGAATTGAGAACTTTCCATGTCTAAATAAAGGGTGACTTTACTGAACACTGAGAGGCCTGGGTAGAGTGGACATGGAGAAGATGTTTCCACTAGTAGGAGAGACCACAACCAGATGGTACAGCCTCAGAATGAAGGGCCGACACTTTAGAACTGAGATGAGGAGGAACTTCTTCAGCCACAGGCTGGTTAATCTGTGGAGCTCATTGCCACAGATGGCTGTGGAGGCCAAGTCATTGAGTGTATTTAAGATAGATATAGATAAATTCTTGACTGGCAAGAAAATCAAGGGTTACAGGGAGAAGGCAGGAGAATGGGGTTGAGAAATATATCAACTATGATTGAATGGCGGAGCAGACTCAATGGGCCAAATGGCCATTTCTGCTCCTATGGTCTTATGGTGTAAGACTTTCTACCTACTGCCAAAGACCCACACTGGGACTGAGAAAGCTTCTCCAGCGTCGAGTACATCAGTAATCAGTTGCCTAGTGACTTTAAGCTGAGCTCCTTATCCTCACTTTTCATGCATGTTCTAAATGCCACTGGGGCCAGTTTCTGTTCTCCAGAGTCCAATACAAGGTGCCATGCATTATTGACTGATATGCACCCCTCAGTCACATAATGGCAGTGCACTGACCTACTGTTCCACTGGATTGTAACAAACTAGTCAAAGAACAGTGAGGAATCTGTGAATGATATGAACGCAATACCTGGCCAAAGTTGACTGCAGCATGTTGAGCAGAGGCAGTGAAGATAACCACAGTCAGATATTCGATCAGCTTCTCAATTGTCTTGATTGTTTTGGGAAAGCCTGTAAAAGGAAAGGTGTTATTTATACAATGCATTGGTCTAAAACTGAGGATTCTTGAATAGACATTTTACCTGACGGGTCTGAATAGCCCAGAGGTCCATCAGCACTCCATTGCTCCAAGGTGCAATTAACATAAACGGCATGTGACTCCCCCCTTCCACCGCTACAATATCCCAGAGGGGGAAAGGTCAGTGTGTGACACCTCTTTCAATGTGCCGGAGGCGGAAAGGACAGTGTATGACACTCCTTCCAATGTCCCGGGGGGGAAAGGACAGTGTGTCACACTCCTTCCAATGTCCCGGGGGGGGGGAAAGGACAGTTTGTGACACTCCTTCCAATGTCCCGAAGGGGGTAAGGTCAGTGTGTGACACCCCTCCCCAGTGTCCCAGAAGGAGAAAGGACAGTGTGTGACACTCCTTCCAATGTCCTGGAGGGGGAAAGGTCAGTGTGTGACACCCTTCCCTACTGTCCCAGAGGGGGAAAGGATAGTGTGTGACACCCCTCCCCAATGTCCCAGAGAGGGTAAGGACAGTGTGTTTTCCAACTGGGCTGAGAAGTGGAGTGAAAACCTGTCAGGACGCTGCCGTTTTCTCTCAGTGATGTAAAAGCTGCAACCAGCCAGAGGGAAAGCCAGAGGGATGTGGGTGATAGCAGGCTCCTCCTATGTATATTGTCAGTGTGTGTAATGACAATGGTGTAAATGCTGGTCCTGATGAGAATGTATGAGGGACACGCTCCAGAACTAACAGTCAGCAGCTGATGCTTAAGGGATAGGCAAGAGCATTCAGAAAAAGGTGGGCACCATGGGGGCTGGAGTGTATTATTTTTCTGTCTGATGCCATTTTAATTTAATTCTCTCCCTCTTTCCCTCGCCTTCCCTTTTGTTATTGTTGTCCTGTTCCTGGCGGGCAGTGCTCGTATTTTGTTAATTTAGTCAAAGAAGAGACACAGTAATTTGGTGCTGATTTAACAATAAAAAAGTGTTGGTTTGGGCCCCTGGTGGGTGGTGATTGTTAGTTGTTTACTTTCTGAAACAGGTAATTTGCTGGTGGCTCATTATTGTAAACAGGTACCCCCTCTCCCTTTCTTCCTCATCTTTAATGGTCTGCATTGCCCTATAACGGGCTTTGCATGTAAATTATTCAACTGGAAACACAAGTAATTTACTGGTGGTAGTTAATAGATTAATAGAAGTACCATAAGTGATTTGGTAATGAGAAATAACTGTTCAGCTGTGCGCAGGAGCATTTTTGAATATTAAACAAAAGAGAAAGGGTTGGTTCAGAAGCAGAGAGAGCAGACTGGAGTTTGTATTACACTGTGAAATGCCAGTGAAGAGTATGGAAGCCAGATTGACTCCAGCTTGCTGCTGGACTGAATGGATGCCTCTGAATATTAGCTGCAATTAGAGGGGAGTTATCCCCAAACTGTCCAGTGCCTGGTCAAGCTGAACCTGGTTTCTGTTTGATCCAGGCAATGGCGCATAGCACAAAGCCACGGAATTAGAGGCTGAGTGATGAAGAGATATTGGAGAAAGTGGGGGAGGGGTTTAGCTCAGATCTCCAGGGAATTGTCACATGGAGTGAGTGGTGAACAGGCAGCAAGATTCCGGGGAGGAGGGTGGGAAAGTTAGTCACACAGCCCAATCCTCTAGAGTGTCTCTGTTTAACTTGTGATCTCATTTTTTTAATTCACTTGTGGCAGATGGCTGTCACTGGCTGGGCCCAGCATTTATTGCCTGTCCCGAGCGGTCCTCGAGAAGGTGGTGGTGAGCTGCCTTCTTGAACCCCTGCAGTCCACAGGGATGTAGGTACACCCACAATGCCCTTAGGAAGAAGGTTCCAGGATTTTGACCCAGTGACACTGAAGGAACGGTGATATATTTCAAAGTCAGGATGTTGAATGGCTTGGAAGAGAACTTGGAGGCGGTGGTGTTCCCATATGTCTGCTGCCCTTGTCCTTCTAGATGGAAGTGGTCGTGGGTTTGGAGTCTGAGTGTCTTTGGTGAGTTTCTGCAGTGCATCTTGTAGATAGTACACACTGCTGCTACAGAGCGTCATTGGTAGAGGGAGTGAATATTTAAGGATGTGGTGCCAATCAAGCGGGCTGCTTTGTCCTGGTTGGTATCAAGCGGCTTGAGTGTCATTGGAGGTGTACTCATCCAGGCAAGTGGGGAGTATTCCATCACACTCCTGACTTGTGTCTTGTAGATGGTGGATAGGCTTTGGGGAGTTAGGAGGTGAGTTACTGCAGACTTCCTAGTTTTTGATCTGCTCTTGTAGTCAGCGTTCATTTATTTATTTATTTTTTAAAAATTAACCTATTTTTATAATCAACCTGTCAGAGATGTTATTATACACCACTGGAGCAGGTGGGATGTGAACCCAGGCGTTCCGGTCCAGGGGTAGGTCACTACCAACGCGCCACAGTGAGCCCAATTGAGTTTCTGGTCAATAATAACCCAAGAATGTTGATAGTGGGGCATTCAGTGCTGGCTCCATTGAATGTCAAGGTGTGGTGGTTAGATTGTCTCTTATGGAGATCATCATTGCCTGGCATTTGAATGTTATTTTCCACTTGTCAGCCCAAGCCTGGATATTGTCCAGATTTGTTGCATTTGAACAAAGACTGTGTCAGTATCTGAGGGGTTGTGAATGCTGCTGAACATTGTGCAATCATCGGCCAACATCCCCACTTCTGACCTCATGATGGAGGGAAGGTCATTGATGAAGTAGCTGAAGATGGTTGAGCCTAGGAAACTACCCTGAGGAACTCCGGCAGAGATATCCTGCAGCTGAGATGACTGACTTTCAATAACCACAACCATCTTCTTATGTGTCAGGTATGACTCCAACCACTGGAGAGTTTGCCCCCTGATACCCATTGATTCCAGTTTTGCCAGGGCTCCTTGATGCCACACTTGGTCGAATGCAGCCTTGATATCAAGGGCTGTCACTCTCACCTCACGTCTGGAATTCGGCTCTCTTGTCCATGTTTGAAACAAGGCTGTAATGAGGTCAGAAGCTGAGTGGCCCTGGCGGAACCCAAACTGGGCGTCACTGAGCAGGTTGATGACACCTTCCGTCAATTTACTGATGATCAAAAGTAGGTTGACAGGACAGTGCTTGGCAGGGTTGGATTTGTCCTACTTTTTAGGTACAGGATGAAACTGGGCAGGTGTCCACATTGTCAGGTACATGCCAGTGTTGTAACTGTATTAGAACAGTTTGGCTAAGGGAGTGACAAGTTCTGAAGCACACCTTTTCAATACTAAGGGTGGCAGACTGGCTCAGTGTTTAGCATTGCTGCCTCACAGCATCAAGGGACCCAGGTTCAATTGCAGCCTTGGATGCCGGTGTGGAGTTTGCATGTTCTCTGTGAGAGGTTTTTGCTGGGTGCTTTGGCTTCCTCTCACAGTCCAAAGATGTGCAGGTTAGGGGGACTGGCTATGCTAAATTGCCCTTTGGTGTCCAGGGATGTGCAGGCTAGGTGGATTAGCAAATGTGTGCAGTGTCACAGGAATAGGGTGAGGGATGGGATGCTCTGCAGAGTGTTGGCGCAGACTCAAGGGGCTGAATGGCCTGCATTGTAGGGATTTTATGATATTACTGGGCTATTGTCAAGGCCCATAGCCCTTGCAGTATCCAGAGCTTCCAATTATTTCTTGATATCACGTTAGAATAAATTGGATTGGCTGAAGACTGGTATCTGTGCTGCTGGAGACCACTGGAGGAGGCCAAAATAGATCATCCACTTGGCACTTCTGGTTGAAGATTGCGGCAAATGCTTCATCGTTGTCTTTTCACTGACGTGTTGGGCTTTTTGATGGGGATATTTGTGGAGTCTCCTCCTCCAGTGAGTTGTTTAATTGTCCACCACCATTCCTAATCGGATGTGGTAGGACTGCAGAGTTTAGATTTGATGCGTTGGTTGTGGAATTGCTTAGCTCTGTCTTTTATCACTTGTTGCTTAATGCTGTTTGATAAGTAGTCCTGTTTGGTGGCTTCACCCCAGGCTGACACCTCATTTTCAGATATACCTGGTGCTGCTTCTGGCATGCCCTCCTACACTCTCCATTGAGCCAGGCTTGATGGTAATGGTTGAGTGGGGGATATACTGGGCTGCTATGTTGCAGTACAATTCTGTTGCTGTTGACGGCCACAGTACCTCATGAATGCCCAGTCTTGAGTTACTAGATCTGTTCGAACTCTGTTATCCCATTTAGCTCCATTGAGCCAGGCCTGATGGTAATGGTTGAGTGGGGGATATACTGAGCTGCTATGTTGCAGATTGTGCTGGAGTACAATTCTGTTGCTGTTGATGGCCCACACCGCCTCATGAATGCCCGGTCTTGAGTTGCTAGATCTGTTCGAACTCTGTTATCCCATTTAGCATGGTGATAGTGCCACACAACGCAATGGAGTTTATACTCAGTGTTAGAGTGGGACTTCATTCATCCTGATACTGTCAAAGACAGATGCATCTGCAAATTGGTAAGGATGAGGTCGAGTATGTTTTTCCCTCTTGTTGATTCTCATATTCAGAGGCTGCACAGACCTAGAATCTCATAGATTGTGCAGGCGGTTTCAAACCTGATGGGCACTCATTTTAATTGTTCGCTTTCCTGACTTGTAGCACTACCTCAACTTCCCAAGGGTTCAGAGAAACCTTGGCTATAGTTACAGTGATGGACAAGAAATCTGCAGGGCTGGGCAGTGCAATGATTCAAAAGAAGATCACACATGGAGCTCCAAGAATATACCCTGACACATGGTGAATGGCATCATCTGGGGGCCTGAGCTACATATTATCTATGGGAGGTCAGGGCCTGACTGAGCTGTGAGGTTTTGCCCATTTACGTAGACCCCAAATGCAGTGTCAAGGCTGGTACCTCAGCAATGGTCATGGGTGAGGTACATGAGGGTGCCAATGTATCCATCCCAGCTCCAGCTAATACCATCTAAACATGGAGATGAATTTCTCCGTAGCTAGGAGACCAAGCAGCCAAGCCTGCATACACTGAGGGAACTCTGTTGCTCAATACTATTCAAGTCACCTTTGTTACCGGGCAGTTACCTGTGCTTTTATTGTCCTTCAGCCCATACACAAAGACATCCTTCACGAAGGCCTGCAGTTCTGTGTCTGTCTGAACAGCCTTGTCATCATCATAATAGATGTTCACCACTTCAGTGACAAAACTGTCAGAAAGAAAGGAACACTCATCAATAACAATCAGGGCAGAAAGGTCTCACTGTTTCAGATGTGCACTTTGAGGTATACAAGATGCTAAAGGGGATTGACAAAGTAGACACAGAGAGGATGTTTCTTCATGTAGGGCAATACAGAACAAGGGGTCACAGTTTTAGGATGAGAGGGTAGCAGTTTTAAAACAGAGATAAAGAAAAAGTACTTCTCTCAAAGGGTTATGAATCTTGAGGAATTCACTATCCCAGAGCGTAGTGGACGCTGGGACATTGAATAAACTTCAGGAGGAGATAGACAGGTTTTTAATTAGTGATGGGTTGAAGGCTTATGGGGAGCGGGCAGAAAAGTAGAGTTGAGGCTGAGATGAGATCAGTCACGATTATATTGGAAGGTGGAAAAGGCAGAAGAGGCTGAATGGTCTACTTTTGCTCCTAATCGTTATATTCTAATGTCTTAGGCTTTTCAGTTTTCTTCAATCTGGAATCTCCGGTGGGTTCTGTGTTGCTGCTCTCGATAGTAGTGCATTTTGTGAACAGTGTGTGTGCACACTGACCTGGGAAGTGGAAATGGTGAGATATCTGCCTTAAAATTGCTGAGGTACATTGTCATTCTCCAGGTGTGTCAATGTGCCTTTTTATTTTCTTCAGAATTCCTATCGAGACTACGTTCTCTTCATTCTTAAAGCCCTTTTTAAACATTTGCCACTCTTCCAAGCACTATCGCTGAGCCCTATGAATCCTGAAAGGCAGGGACAAGATGGGCCTGCATTTAGTCATTGCTTCCTTATCAGCCTTATTGTGGGAGGTGTCATTCTGTTTGAGAATTAGTCCTGGGTTTTAGCTGTGCCTACTGACACAGGCCTCTTGCCTTCATTTATCACTGCAAACACACAGAGTTAATGCTGGACTGCAGGTCAGCCGGTGAGGAAAGCAATAGTGCACGCAACCTTTCTCAGCAAAGGAAGGTATTTGGGTCAGCGGTATTTAGAAAGGATCAGGAGGGGAAAACGAAAGTGGAGAGGAGATTTGACAGAGGTTTTCAAAATCATGAGCAGGTTGGATAGAGCAGATGGAGGGAACTGTTTCTCCTTGTAAAACAGATCAAAATGATAGGAGCATAGAATTCAAATGATGTGCAAATGAAGCAAGGATAACGTGAGAGTAAATTTATTCACACAGCAAGTAGTTAAGATAGAGAATGCACTGCCTAGAGGGTCTGGTGGAGGCAGGTTCAATTGAAGCATTCAAGAGGGAATGATTATTTGGATAAAAATGGTGTTCAGGGTTATGGGGAACGGGCAGGAGATTGGCACTTGGTTAGAGAACAGGTGCAGGCATGATGCGCTGAATGGCCTCCTTCTGAGGCACAACATTTCTAAGGTTCTGTGATGTGGACATCTTGGGCAAGGCCAGCATTTGATACTCATCCCTAACTGCCCTTGAACTGAGTGATTCATGAGGACAATGTCAGAGGGCAGAGTTAAGAGTCAACCACATTGCTTTGGGCCTGGAATCAAATGTAGGCCAGACCCGGTTAAAAACAATCCAGAAAGGACATTAGTGACATTTGGTCTTTATAACAATTAATAATAAGTACTAAGACTAATGTTTCTATTCAGATGTTATTAAATGAGTTTAGATCACATCAGGTGCCACAGGAGGACTTGAACACTTAGAGCCTTAAACTGGGACCTCTGGATGCCTAGATGAACCTGGGGCCAATAGATGATGCATTCAGTTACAGTACCACAACACCACTATCTCCCCTGTGATCCATCCTGTTCAGTCCGTGAGCACTTGGGTTCAACCCATCCTGAAATCCAGATGTTGGCAAAGGGAGACGGCCTCCAAATTACCTCTGGACTGCTTCCCAGACTCTCAGGCCGTCATCCCTGTAGTAGTAATAAGGAAGAGCCTCGGTGCTGTCTAACCCACGCATCTTGATGCTCTCAGGAAAGCAGAAGGATTTATAGGTGAGGCTGGACATGGCTCGCTGAACCATTCGAACATGGCCCCCTCCTCCTGTGCCGTTTGCCTGTATACAACCAGACAAACATCAGACACACATACCTTGAGACATGCACCAATGAAAACAGCTCCTCACAGCTGGGTTTACCTTGTCAAAGAGGCCACACTCACAGATCAGCTGCTCCCTTGCTTTGGTGTTGATTGCAATGGTAAATCGAACATGAGGCACCAAGAGCTAAAGGTCCATGCAGTGGGAAAAGAAACGGAAAGATGTTAAATGGCAAACGAGTGACTGATTGTATTTCAACATCAGTGAAAACAGAAACATTAAAATATCCAAACACTCTTCCTACAGCCCTATGTCAACTCAGTATTAATCCCATTCCAAACTCATCCGAACTAATCCCAGGGCTCTGTTCTCTCTTTCTAATAGCCTCTTTACACTGCCCCACCAAACATTCCCAGGACAGGCACAGCATGGGGTTAGATATAGAGTAAAACTCTCTATAGATATTTTCTAATCAATTAAGAGATGCTCTGGCACACCTCTGGCGCAAGTGGGACTTGAACTAAGGCCTCCTGGCTAAGAGGTAGGGACACTACCACTGCACCACAAGAGTACTTAAAGCTCTTTCTATACTGTCCCCATTAAAATCTCCCTGGACGGGTATAGCACTGAGTTAGATACAAAGCCAAGCACCCGCTTACACTGTCTCCTACAAACACTCCCAGGACAGGAACAGCATCTGGTTAGATACAGACTAAAAGGTCACTCTACACTGCCCCCCAACAATCTTCCCAGGACAGGGATAGTACGTGGTTAGATATAGAGGAAAGCCCCCTCTACTCTTTTAAACTGGAAGTAGTATAGCTTCCCCTACACTTTTAAACTGAAAGTAAAGCGTCCTCCACATTGCTCCCATCAAACACTCCCAGGACAGGGACAACACAGGGTTTGATACAGAGAAATTGTCATGGAAAATGACAGCACCCTCTCCTCTTCCTACATTCAGGTCGGGTTTGTACCTTTGCTGAGTTTTCACTAGGAACGAGACAGGGGCTGACCACATTAACTTCAAGCTGACAGTCAGTGTAAAGGAAACATTTCCGTTCCCAGGAATGTGATTGCTGCCCGCTCCCATGGATGAAGCCACAGAATTTATCCTAATCTCACCCAGTTCATGATAAGCAGATGTTTTTGCTACACGCATTTGACAATATCTCAGGGAGGCCAAAGAGCAGGAGAGCATACCTTGAACAGAGGGTGGACAGCTGGGAGCTGTCGATAGAGTGCTATACCAAATACTTCCGACATAAGGTGAGTCTTCAGGAGATGGGTGACAGTCTGGTGAATGTGAAAGTCTGTTGACCTCACCCATATTTTTGCCAACAACCATTCATACTTATCGTCAGTGGGGAGGAATATGGGATTATCTGGCCCAGGTTCTTGTTTCAGCTGTTGAAACAAAGAAAATCCTCGTGTTACTGGTGGTCAGGTATTCGATCCGTGACCTTTGCAGGATTTTAATCAAGAGCCAAGATAATAGGAAGTAAATCCCAAATAAACCTCAGAATAGAAGGCAGAGCTTGGGGGACACTGTGAAATAGAACACAGAGCTAAGGGAGAGTGACTGGATTAAACAGTGTGGGAAAGAACCAGTCATGGTTTCATGCAGAATGGACTGATTAACTCAGCATGGAACTTGTGTCCTTCGATGAAGATGACTGAATTACAGAGACAATTATAGTGCAAAGAAAATTCCACCTATATAATGATTTTTTCTGAATCAGCATTGCACAAAATGCACTTAAAGGACAGTGCAGGAGAAATGAATAGGCCACAAGGAAGGAATTAATGGACAGCAACGGAGGACTTAAAGGTCGATGCAATGAGAATGAAAATTAATGTTGTGATAACATAAATGGGTTGTAAGCAATTCTGAGTTTTTGATCTCAGTATAAGACTTAGGTTATCTAGTGTTCTTAGAAGTGTTCTACAAACACATGGTTTTAGAAGTACCAAAGAGGGCAAAGAAGAGAAGATGGGGAATGGAGTAAAGTAATAGAGGGAAGGCTTGAGAGTTGACAGTGAACAAAGAATTTGTTGCCTTCCAACAAGCAAGAAAGAGATAAGGGTAGAGTTAAATTGTATGTCTGTAAATGCACAGAGTATTGTGAGCAAAATTGGGGAACTGGAAGCAGAAATTGCTCGAGGGGATATGACATAATAACATTGACAGAAACGTGGCTCAAGTCAGAAAGAACTGGATACTTAACATGCTATGTCATAAAGCATTTAGTAGAAACGAGCTAAGTAAAATGGGAGATGTAGCAGTCTTGGTCAAAGATAGTACACATTTTGAATTAAAATCTATATGGTTGGAGGTGAGATACAAGAAGGGAGTGGTGACCTTGTTGGGTATTTATTGTAGACCTCCAAAGAGTGGGAAGTAGTAAAGAGCATTTGTAGGCAGCTTATGGAAATCTGCAGGAGAAGTAGAGTTGTGATAGTTAGTGATTTCAATTACCCTGGGACAGACTGGGAAAAAGGTAGACTGCGGGGCACAGAAGGGGAGAAATCCTTGCAATGTGTACAGGAGAACTTTCTGGAACAGGAAATTTCCAGTCCTACCAGGAAGGGGGCTATGCTGGATCTGATCCTAGGCAATGAGGCAGGCCAAGTGGAGAATGTCGGAGTGGGGGAGCATTTAGGAAATAGTAATTATAACATAATAAGGGTCAATATTAAGTTGGAAAAGGGCAAAAATCAGTTAAGGACTAAGATCCCAGATTGGAAAAGGGAAAATTTTAGGAGTCTAAATGTTGAACTGGAGTATGTTGATTGGAAACCTATTTTGGTAGAAAAATAAGTGGATGAAAAATGGGAGATTTCCAAAAGAGAGATGAATAGCGTGCAAACTAGCTACATGGCCATGAGAAGTAAACACAGGACATCCAAAGCTAGTGAACCCTGGATGACGAAGAATATTGATTAAGAAATATGGAAGAAAAAGAAGGCAAATGATCCATACTGGAATAATAATAGCAAAGAAATCAGGAAGAGTATCTCAAATGCAGGAGAGAGGCTAAGGCTAGAATAAGGAAGGCTAAGAGGAAGCATGAGAAAAGGATGGCAGGCTGCACTAAAACAAATAAGTAATATGTTTTGCAAGCATATTATTAGTAAAAGATTAGCGAAGGATAGAAATGAGGAGAGTAAACTGCTTGCTGAAGCAAAGAGTACAGCAGAGTTACTAAATGAATATTTTGCTTCTGCCTTTACAAAATTACAAGATAGAGACAATGGCCGATGAAAATGCGTCTGTTAAACGACTGAGCAGCATAGTGATAGATAACATAGGATTTGTCCTGGGGAACTGGAGGATTGCAAATATGATGGCATTGTTTAAGAATGGGACAAAGGATAAGTGATAGACCTGTCAGCTTGACATCTATAGTGGGAAAACTGATGGAAGCCATAATGCGGGATAAGGTAAATATACACTTAGAGAAAGATAAGCTACACAGCTTAGCTTTGTCAAGGGCAGATCATGTCTAACAAATTTAATTGAATCCTCTGACGAGGTCACACAGGCAGTGGGTGAGGGTAATGCTGTGGATGTTGTATGTTTGGACTTTCAGAAAGCAGTTGATACAGTACCACATGGCAGTTTGGTTATCAAATTAGAAATATGTGCGATTTATCTTTTCTTGGCAGCATGGATTAGAAGTTGGCAAAAATTTAGGAAACAGATGATAGGTATAGATGGACATTTCTCAGATTGCAGACAAGATGAAAATGTTGTTCCTCAGGGATCGGTGTTGGCACCTTGGTTTTTCTGATGTATATGAATGATTTGAAGATGGGTGTTGAGGACAAAATCTCTAAATTTGTGGATGATACTAAGCTAGGGAGAACAGTAAATTGTTAGGATGATGCTGAGCGACTTTGAGGGATATTGACAAGTTGGCCAAATGGGCAGACACGTGGCAGATGAAATTCAATGCAGTCAAATGGAGAGACAATACAGGCTCAATGGACAAACTTTGAGGGGAGTACAGGAGTTGAGGGACCTCAGGGTTCATGTGCATGATTCCCTGAAGGTGGCCAGGCAAGTTGAAGCAGTTGTGAAGAAGCCTTATAGGATCCTTGGGTTTATAAATAGAGGCATAGAATATATAAGCAAGGAAGTGATGCTACACCTCTACAAATTATTGGTCAGACCACATTGAAGTATTATGTTCAGTTCTGGGCACCTTATTTAAGGAAGGATGTTAAGGCCCAGGACAGAGTGCAAAATTAGAATGATACCAAGAATGAGGGGTTTTAGATACCAGGAAAGATTAAACGGATTGGGCTTATTCTCCTTGCAGCAGAGACGATTAAGTGGTAAACTTATCGAAGTGTTCAAAATCATGAACAATTTTGACAGGTTAAAGAAGGACATTCCGTTTCCACTAGTTGGTACGTCAGTAACTAGGGGGTTGCAATTTCAAGATTTTCAGCAAGACAGCCAGGAGTGAGATGAGGAAAAACTTCTTTACTCAGAGAGTTGCTAGGATTTGGAATGTGCTGGGAGAGTGGTGGAGGTGGATTCAATAAGAGATTTCAAAAGAGAGCTGGATATATATTTTTAAAGTGATGGATTTAGCAGGCAATAGAGACAGGTCTGGAGAACAGGACCAGCTAAGTTGCTCTTTCAGGAACCAGGACAGATGCAATAGGGCAAATGGTATCCTTCTGTATTGTAAAAGTCTATGGTTCTATGTATTTTACTTATCTAACAAGGCAAAAACACCTGCAGTTGTTGGAATAAGAACTGTTCCATTTTTACTGAGCCACACTTAACAAAACCATAAACAGTCTGCAAACACCTCAATTGCCCTGAAACTGAAGAATAAACAATTAATCACGAACGAATAAAGACTACTTTTTTTCATTTTTAGAGGTAAGTCTTAAGGACTGTGTTCTCATTTTCACTGTGGAAAAACAAATGGGCTGTGAGAATAGAAACGACAGCATGACATCAGGTAATTCTTACCAGCGAGGAGCAGTCTTGCACACAGAACACTGACATTGTAATGAATGGGATACTGTTCATTTTCAGATAAGGTAAACATTTTGAAAGAATCCATTGTATTAGGCTGAGAGATCATGCATACGTAGAACCATTCAAGCAAATTAAGCAGTGCCACATTATTGGCAATGTTTGAATAAGGCGGGGCAGTAATCTCAAGGGGACAATAAAATAAAGGTTTTGAATGCCATGTTGTGTGCATGTTTGTGAGTAATTGGATGTGGTGAGGAAGTGACCCACATCAACTGGACAAAGGTATTGCTCTACAGGTAGTCAGGGGCTAGTTCCCACGGTGTTTTGTCTCAAGGGAGGAAGAAGCGCCCTGTCCATGAGCTGGGTTTTAAACCCAATTTGAAGTCTGCCTTGTATTATTGATACATATAACTTTTGTTTGTTACTGAAATAGATTTTAGTTGTTCGACAACTTGATCCTACTGAATAAAATCTAATTTGATTCATTAATTCAGTGCTCTTGTCTCACTTGATGGTAGACCTCTGTCAAACTTGTCATATTCAAGGCACCCGACTCTGCCTTACAAGCTGAGGGGTTCTCTGTACATCGCCTGGACCGCATGATGTCCTCAGGTCAGGCAAGGGCAGAGGGGTATTCTTCCTGATCAGACGTGGCAACACTGGTGAGCCACTGCTCCCTGGACTAGAATACCTTACAGTAAAATGCCATCCCTACTATCTAGTGCACGAGTTCACCTCTGCCATCCAGGCATCAGTATACACCCACCCTATGTGGATGTGAAGAACGACTTGGTTGAAATTTACACCATCACAAACACTCTGGAGATGAAATTCCCTGAGGCCTTATTCATAGTGGCCAGACACTTCAACCAGGCCAACCCCGAGAGGGCACTGCCAAAGTACCACCAATACATCTCCTGCCCAGCCAGAGGAACCGAACATCCTGGACCAAGCATCAAAGACGCCTACCGCTCCATGCCCTGTCCACACTTCAGAAAATCAAATCACAGCGCTGTGTCCCTCCTCCCAAGCTTATAAGCAGAAGCTGAAATGGGAGGATCCTTCACAGGAAGAAATACAAGGCTGCTCCAACACAGCAGAAGACCATCTCCGGGACTGCTTGGAATCGGTGGATTGGACCCTATTCAAGTACTCAGTGGAAAACCTAGACAAGTATGCTACCACTGGCATGGACTTCGTTAGCAAATGGGTGGAGGACTGTGTGCCAAAGAAGTCAATCTGGGTGTTTCCAACTAGAAACCTCAGACGAACCGGGGAATCCACTTCCTACTGAATACCAGAAATGCAGCATTCAAGACAGATGATCCAGACCTATACAGAAAATCCAGATATAATCTCCACAAAACCATCAGAGATGCCAAGTGGCAGTACTGAATAAAGTTAGAGACCCAAACCAACCATATGGGACACCTGCTGCCTGTGACAAGGCCCAAACAACATTACGTGATACAAAATGAAGCACAGCACGATAGTGGAAAAAGACACATCCCTCCCTGATGTGCTCAATGCTTTCTATGCTTGGTTCAAGCAGAATATCTGTGGCACGGTGTCACCTGTCCCGACAGCCCTGGGTGCACCTGTTCCCTCCATCACCACTGCAGATGTCAGATCAGTCTTCCTGGGAGTAAACCCAAGGAAAGCGATGGGTCCGGATGGAGACCCCGGCCATGAACTTAGATCCTCATGGACCAATTGGCGGAAGTATTCATTGACATCTTTCAACCTGTCCGTCCTACAAGCCGAAGTTACCACCTGCTTCAAGAAGACCACCATCATCCCTGTACCCTATAAAGCACACACAAGGTGCCTTAATGATTACTGCCCAGTGGCTCTGAGCTCAATAATCATGAAGTGCTTCGAGAGGCTGGTCATGGCCCGTGTCAATTCTAATCTCCCAGCTTTCCTTGATCTCCTGCAATTTGCCTACTGACATAACAGGTCCACAGCAGTAGCCATTTCCCTAGCCCTGCACTCATCCCTGGAACAACTGGACAACCAGGACATCTACATCAGACTCCTGCTCATTGACTACAGCTCCACCTTCAACACCATTATCCCCTCCAGACTAATACCCAAACTCCAAGACCTTGGTCTCAGCTCCGCCCTCTGCAACTGGATCCTCAGCTTCCTGACACATAGACGCAATCTGTGAAGATAGACACCGGTGCCTCCACCACAATAACACTCAACAATGGAACCCCCCCCATGGATGCATTCTCAGCTCCCTACTGAACTCCCTGTACTTCCATGACTGTGTAGCCAAATTCTGAATGAATGCCATCTACAAGTTTGCTGACGAAACCACTGTGCTAGGATAGATAGCTAACAACAACGAGTCATAATGAGGACTTGGTGATGTGGGGTGCAATGACAACGACCTCTCTCTCAATGTTGGCAAAACTTTAGAACTGATCATTGCCTTCTGAAAGAAAGGAGGAGACAACGCCCCCATCTACATCAATGGAGTGGAGGCTGAGACAGTTGAGAGAGCGCCAAGTTGCTAGGAGTGACGATAACCGACAACCTGTCCTGGACTTAATACTGAATTCAACACCTTTAAATTGTGAACCAATTCCCATTTCTTCTCATTGTTTCAGCTTTAAATGTTACATTCTCCCTTTTCTTCCCTTTCTTTTAGCTTTAATTGTTACATTCTCTGTCACTGTGTACTCTCTTCCCTCCCTTCACCCCAGTGGGACTGTCTGCTCTTTCCAGTCTGGCAGTTAGATACACGATTGTTCTGCTATTCTCACATTCCGATCACTTAATCTGAACTATCAACATCTTTTCCCCAACTACCTCGTGGTATTATCTGTGGACTGTTAATCCAGAGACCCAGATAACGTTCTGGCGAATCCATTCTGGGTTTGAATCCTGCCCCGCCAGCATCCAGATGCTGGAATTTGAATTCAATTAGAAATATCTGGCCTAGTGATAACAATGAATCCATTGCTGATTGTCAGAAAAATCCATCTGGTTCACTAATGCCGTTTAGGGAAGGAAACTGCCATCCTTACCTGGTCTGGCCTACGTGTGACTCCAGACCCACAGCAATGTGGTTGACTCTCAGCTGCCATCTGGGCAATTAGGGATGGGCAATAATTGCTGCCTAAAAGTAACATCCTCATCCCATAAATGAATTTTTAAAAAATGCTGCCCCCTCCACTCTTCACACTTCAGCTCTGATGAAGAGTCAGACTCGAAACATTAACTTGCTCTCTCTCCATGGATGCTGTCTGACCCGCTGCGATCTGCAGCTGTTGTTATCCGTATGTTCTGGCTTACTATGATCTGCCTGTGCTGCTCATAGACAAAGCATTTCACTGTACTTTGGTATATGTGACAATCAATTGATATTCAAACTGTTAGTTTGAAGAAGAGATCAATTTGAAGCTTTTAATTAGATGAGCTCCACCAAATTGAACTAATCTAAATTCTGTAATTTTGAAACTTAGGTTATGGAACAGAGCAAAGCAAAAATAAATAGACAGAAGCTCGAAGGACCAGACGATCTGCAAAAGAAGATGGAAAACAAATATATGAGAAAGGATTTAACTACTTTCTATGAACAGGAGGAAGAGGGTATCTCAGAACCTGTTGACTGTGGGAAATATTGGCAGGTGAATCTCAAAAAATTAAAGACTATGAATACTTGTGGCTGTGTAAACTGGGTTTATACTGAATTTAGTAAATGGGGAGCGGTAGCAAAAGCTGCAACAACAGAGATCAGAGTTTGTTAAAATGCAGATAGAAATTTTGAAAGGTGCAAGCAAATGAAACGTGGGTGCAATTGGGATTTTCACAGAAGGTAATTAGAACAAGTCAAGAAATGGCAAAAGAGCAGGGAGGACAATGAGAGATAGACAGTGGATGTTTTCCAGTATTGATACTTACAGATTAAGATTGACAATCAGCACAAGGGATGGGGGAGGCATCTACCAAGTGATACCAGAGCATCACAGAGTGAGAGAGAGAGAAAGAGAGAGAGAGAGGTGGCCCAGATATTGCACAGATTCTTACAGCTGTTTACACAATAGCCCTTTGAGAGGTCTGTAACACAGTCAATATTCAGGATGGAATATGTATGCACCATAAATATAGAATACATATGGCTATTAAAATTAATATTATATATTATTATTAATATTAATATAATTAGAATGTTATTATTCATATTAATTTTGTAACTCACATTGTAAAAATACTTGGGAAAAAAGGCTGTCAGCTAGTTGGTGACCATGTATTGACTGATATCTATATCCTGACTATGAGCTGTTCACTGACTGGGTGGACAGGTCCTGTCCTCTCTCAGCTGAATATTAATAGAAGATCACAATACACTATATGAACAGCAGAACAGACTTCTCCCCAGCATTCTGACATCACTGAAACAGTTCATGTGGTCATTATCTCACTGCTGTTTGTGGAAGCTTGCTATGCCAAAACTGGCAACTGCATTTTCAACATTACAGAAGTGAAGATACTTCAAGAAATAGTTCACTGGCTGCAAACACAGAGTCATAGAGTCATACAGCATGGAAACAGACCCTTCGGTCCAACTTGTCCATGCTGATCAAGTTTCCCAAACTGAACTAGTCCCACCGGTCTGTGCTTGGTCCATATCCCTCCAAATCCTTTGACATAGGAAGTGTTACTGATATAAACTCATGACCTATGTCAATTCCTTAGTCATGTGGTACAACAGTAATGCAGTTGTTGACTAGTCACTTGGAAAAAGTCCTGAAAGAGTGGAAAGTACAACATAAAACACATCATCGTGTCCCATTCAACAATGTACCTTCACCCAGCACACAATGCCTCCTCTTAATTGATTGAAAGGACATTAACCACCTTAGCTTCCTCCTTCTCAGTGTGTAATTTGTGCCCAGCACCAGCTACAGTATTCTATCTAATTTTGGACACTATGCCTCAGGAAGGATGTCAAGGCCTGGAGCACATCAGGGATTCACCAGAATGGAATAAAGGATAAAACGCTTATGTTCTTCAGAGAAGCTGGGATTGTTCCTATTGGAACAGAAAAACCTTTTTTATAGAATAGAATCCCCACAGTGTGGAAACAGGCCATTCGGCTCACAAGTCTACACCTCCGAAGAGCATCCCACCCAGACCCATCCCCCTAACCTGTCCCTGTAACCCTGCATTTCCCATGGCTAACGCACCTAACCTACATGTCCCTGAACACTATGGGTAATTTAGCATGGCTAATCCACCTAACTTGTACATCTTTGGACTGTGGGAGGAAACCCAACAGACTCAAGGAGAATGTGCGAACTCCACACAGGCCTGAGGCTGGAATTGAGCCCAGGTCCCTGGTGGTGTAAGGCAGGAGTGCTAACCACTGAGCCATCGACATGATGTATTAGAAGTGCTCAAAATAATGACAGGTTCTGATGGAACAACAAGTGAGAAACTGTTCTCACTGGAAGGAGGCTTGGTAACTACAGGATACCAGCATCTAATTGGAAAAATAATTGACAAAAGATGTAAAGAGGAGATGAGGATAATTTTATTTCCAGAGTAAGGTGTCTGGAAGCAGATTCATCAGTAAATTTTAAAAAGAAGTTGGTTAAATACCTGAAGAGAAATTTGCAGGTACTGTGTGAGTGGAAGAAATTGGCTAGTTCTTTCAAAGAGATGCACAAATAGGAGAGCCACAATGGCTTCCTGAACCGTATAACCTGACAATCACAAAAGCTGTAAATAGAAACCTTTCTCTGACAACCAACAGAGTCTTAAAACCTCGCGTCAACTAGTTCTCACTCCTGTCCCTTATTCTCTGGTTTTATTTTCTTGTTTAAAGAGCACACTTACCTGGATTGCGATGGGCACCAGTTTATTTTGGGAGTTATTGTACAGCAGGCACAGGGGTGCTGTCAGGTATTGGATGGTGCAGGGGTCAGTGCAATTGGCAGGAATCCCATCCATTAGCTCGTAGTCTGCCAAGTAAATGTTTCCTTTCTGTCCCAAGATCAAAATAACACAGTCATGTTAGAATCCTTCCTTTGTAAATGCCCAAGGCACAGGGCTGTGCAGGGGCATGGACCTGTGTTGGGGATGATCTATAGGGATTTGGGGACAGTTATTTGGGCTGGGGTTGATCCAGTGGGCAGTGACCTGGGCTGGAGGTTGGTCGAATGGGCTGTGACTGGTCTGGTGTGGGGGGATACTGGGCACTGACCTAGGCTGGGGTGGATTCCCAAGATAGTGGCCTGTGCTTGGGTGCCTTGTGCCTTGAACAGCAGTTTTTCCTGTATTCCCACCTTCAGGTCTAAGGTTAGCCCAGGATCTTACCAAGCTGCTTGACTCTGGAAGGCTGTCTGCTGGGGTAATATCCTGCCCTCTCACAACAAGCAATCTGAGGACAAGAAGAGCAGACTAGGGCTGACTACTTTGTCCTGGCATTGCCTGGCACACAGCAGCTCACTTTGGCTGCGATGACACCATGTGCCCAGAGGAAATGCAGCCAGTAGCACCGTGGCAGAGAAACTGTGTGCATTCTCCAGATTGCACTTGTCCTGACAGTCAATCTTCACCTGCTTTGGGGATTTATCCAGGTGAGGGTCATAGGCTGGAATCTCTGTTGGATAATATCGGAGTGCTGCTGACTTGGAAATAAGGAAATGACAGCTGACCTTTAGCTTTGCTGATTCTCGTGGAGGTGATTGACTTTGGAGGTTGTGAGAAGTTGGGTTTTATTGTAATCAGTGATCTCAGCTTTTCACGGGCCATTTAAATCTTTTTTGCTACCCCTGTCCTTGACCCTCACAGGTGTCCCCTTCCTAAGGGACCCTCTTGTGCCCCATGTTGGCACTCTTCCCTGCACCCTTGTACTCATCACCCTCCCTGTAGCCCATGTGCCAGGCTCCTTGCCCTCAGCTCTACCCTTTGTATCTCTGCAGTAACTGGAGGTTGAGGATCTCTGTACCTCTACTTCTTCTTCCAGCGTCAATTGCCGTTCCAAGCAGATCTGCACCATTTCGTTGGTGACAGGGAATTTCTCTGGCAATCTGTTGCATTTCTTGAAGATGACGGGATTGCATCCATTCAGGAACTGGTATCCGAACATGAAATCCTCCTGCCAGTGTTGCATGACGTACTCTGCAAGAGGCACAAACATTATCACTCCCCACTCCTCAGCTAGCCTCCTCCGACTTCTCCCCCTAACTGTTATAACACAGTGCAGGCCTGGTCCCTCCTTGAGTGAAATCCCTGCTGATCTACAGCTGCCCTTTTCTCCTCAACACAAACCCAACTAAAATTTATTGACAAAAGCAGAATACAAGGTGCCTAAATGGAAAACGAGGTGCTGTTCCTCCAGCTTAATTTGGGTTTCACCAGAACACACGTCTCTTCAGATCTAAAAAAAATGAGATTGGACTTGAAATGATATTTCTGTTGTTTCTCCACAGACCTGCTGAGTTTCTCCAGCACCTTTTGCTGTTACTTCAGATTTCCAGCATCTGCAGTATTCTATTTTTATGATGGATAAGTTACTTGACAAAAGGACAGAGGCTGCCTGAGGACCATCTTATTTAATCCAAAGCTGAGCAAGTGTAGGATTGAGTTTTAACCTGGCACGGGTGTTTGGTTGCTGGGTGCAGGTCTACCTGGGGCACTAGGATTTCATGGTGTTTAGAGCGTGGAATAGATATATGTCATACCTGAAATCGTGTTGCTAATGCGAACAAAGATCTTCTCAAAGTCCGCAAAATCACTCCATGAAGACTGAAACATGTGCATGAAGCGATTCACGTACAGATTCTCCATCCTGCACAAAAATAGTTCCTTTCATTAGAAACAAGTATGGAATTTTTCTGAGTGTATTGGATGAGCTGGGACGGTGAGGGTGGGTCAGTGTGAGAGGAAGGTATCGGGGCGGGGTGGTGTGCAGGCAAGGGGAAAGGGGCTCCCACTCGCTCTTGGAGGGTCCCAGGTTTTGGAGTTTGATCTGTGTTCATAGTAACCAATGGGACCATACACTGAGTGGAAACAGTGGGACGGTATCTAATTTCCCCAAAAGTGCTGGTAATGGCCATCCAGATGGGGCTGTCCAAAATGACTGTCCACATAACAATACAGTGATGACCTGGGATCTTCCAGTGAGTCACTAACAGACCCTGTCATTGGCACCAAATCAACTTCCTCAGATTGTATAAAACCCTATGATGTGAGAGAATTGACCAACAGGAGGAGGCCATTCAGCCCCCTAAGGCCATTTGCTCATTTCATCAGATTGTGGCTGATCGGGTTGTAGCTGGGACTCCACTTTGCTGTTTACTGCCATAAGCCTTGACTCTCTTAGTCAAGAATCTATTAACCTCTGCCTGGAGAATTTTAAATGGCTCTGCCTCTACCGTGACTCCAATGACTGTCTGTAAAATAGTACGTCTTTACCTCATTTCCATCTTAAATACGAGCTCCCTAGTTTTAAACTGCGTTCCCCGGATTTAGTTTCTTCCACAAGAAGAAACATCTTTGCAACATCTACTTTATCCACGTATCTTGTGTGTTTCAATAAAATCACTTCTTATTCTTCCAAGCACCAATAAGTTCCTTATAAGACAAATCTCCACTTCCCCTACCCAATCCCAGGTATCAATTGAATTAATATTGCCTTAATTGTTTTCAGTGAATTTATGTCCTTTCTTAACTAAGGAAGCTAAAACTGTTCTTCATACTCCAAATGTGTTCTCACCCCTATCTTGTACAATTGTAGTCAAAACTTCCTACTTTTAAATTCCATTCCCTTGTGTAAAGACAATGTCTTTTTTCATTTCCTATATTTTTAGTGGTGGATTGAAATGGGAAAAGAATGGTTTTAAAACTAAGAATTGCTGTATGTTTTGAAAATAAGTAACTGACCCTCATTGTAAGCACTATTTACATAGCTGCTGGTTCCAACATTGTTGAAGTATAGTTTACAGATAAACTGGAGTCAAAGAGTAGTTTACAATTGCAGCTTTGGTTGGCAACAAATAGCTGATTGGTCTGTGGACTAGTGACCAGTTATCAATGACAAAGATCTTCTGCCTTGCTGTGAAATTGTTCCAATAACAACGTGTGTGAAAGACAGTGACTCTTACCAATTTTTATAAATTTACCTTAGAAAGCATCCTATCTGGATGCATTACAGCTTGGTACAGCAACTGCTCTGCCCAAGACAGCAAGAAATTAGAGAGTTGTGAACATATCCCAGTCCATCACGCAGACTAGCCTTCCTTCCAGTGACTCCATTTACATTTCCCAGTGCCTCAGGAAAGCAGCCAACATAATCAAAGACCACTCCCACCCTAGTTATACCCTCTTCCATCCTCTTCCATCAGGCAGAAGATATAAAAGCTTGAAAATACATACCAACAGATTCAAGAACAACTTCTTCCCTGATGTTATCAGACTTATGAACAAACCTCTCATATATTAGAGTTGATCTTCATCTACACCTTCTCTGTAGCTGTAACACAATATTCTGCATTCTGTTCTATTACCCTGATTACTCGTGGAAAGTATGATTTGTCTGTTTAGCACGCACAACAATACTTTTCATTGTATCTTGGTACATGTGACAATAATAAATCAAATCAAAAGAAATCAAAGGAAATCATAAAAGGACAGATGAGTTGCCTTAAAGACCTAGTAGACCAAACAAGCTGTAAATGAACATCTGCCTGACCTGGGCAGTCCACGTAAGAATTCACTGCAAATATCTGGGGCTATAGCCCATGTTAGAGATAGTAGGAACTGCAGATGCTGGAGAATCCGAGACAACAAGGTGCAGGGCTGGATGAACACAGCAGGCCAAGCAGCATCATAGGAGCAGAGAGGCTGACGTTTCGGGCCTAGACCCTTCATCAGAAA